GATTCACCAAAGACAGAGCAGGGAGCAAAACAGATGGATTTACTGAAATGGACAATGCTGAAATGCTGAGGGGAGCAGTAGGTGAGATAGGAGAGGTCTGTTGCGCCTTGTGGATCACCTCCCTGGCCAGGGATGGAACATGGTGCTGCAGTGGCTGATAGCTTCCAGTGCTGTGAGTTAACCCCTTGTGCCACCAGGGAGGCCCCTTTGTCAATAATTTTGAACTAAGGAAACAAGTCCCAAAAGACTACACACTATTCCCCACAGAAACAAAAAATTAAATAATCTGCTGTTTAGAGAGTCACAAATTATTTTTAAATAAAAGGTTATTTTCAAAAGTAAGAATCAACACAGAAGACAATATAGGAATTCCTTCTGAGGTAGCAGCAGTTTTCTAAGGTGGAGGTGATATTTTTAGTTTTTTATGTAGGTAGCAGATATGTGTGTTAATCTTTTATTTTAAAACTCCTATTTGCATCCTATAGCTCACAAATGTTATATTTTCATATCATAAGTGGAAAAGGCATATAGAGTATGAGAAATTGAAATTTTGAATAAGGGAATAAAAATGCTATAGAAATTAAAATGATTTTAAAATATTCTTTTAATGTTATAAGTGACTTACAATATATTTAATTTAGGTGAAAAGAAAAAAAACTGAGGCATTTTCAATTTGTGAAAAGCATACCTATTCATATTACATAATATTTGTTTTACAGGATGGCATTAGAATTAATGTAACTACCCTGAAAGATGATGGGGAGATAACAGAATTACAGGTTTGTCTCCTTTTGGTTATATCTTTAATAATTCACTTAGCTAAGTATTAATACAGCCTATTTTAATTTGACCTATACACCTAAGTCAGATAATGTATTTTGACATGAAGAGTTTGTCATCATGATAAAACACTGGAATTAATGTATATGCTGCTTTATTTCAAGGTTGTTCTTAACATAACCTATGAGAGTGGACAGGTATATGTAAATGACTTCCCTGTAAATAGTGGTGTAACCCGAATAAGCTGTCAGACTTTGATAGGTGAGTACTACACTAAATTATTTCCATAATTATTCTGTTTTTAATACTAAATTAGTAAGATATAATTCTTTGATGTTACTTCCATTTCAAGTTAATGATATATATCACTACTTGCGTATACAGTAACCCTGTTTAGAATCTGTTTTCTACTTTACATTGATTATTCCCGACATATTCACTTTTTTCTTGAGAGTCTGGCAGAGAGAACTGTGTTTCTGGTAGGGTGGTATCAGTGTAAGAATGTGTATAATCTCCATTATTTAGATTTGTCTTTTCTCCTTTCAATTTTGTTAATTCCTGCTTTATATATTTTGATGCAATATTACTCAATCAATGCAGGTTTAGAACTGTTACACTTCCTGGTAGAGTGGTTCTTTTATTTTTATAATCTATCCTTCTTTATTTCTATGACATTCTGTACTTTAAAATGGGCTTTATCTTTAAAATCACTGCTTTATGGCAGGGAGGGGAGACAGTGGGTTGTTACATGGTGTAACTTACCATTTTCTTTCAGTCTCTCTGGGTTGTTGTAATAAAGGTGGATCAATTATAAGCATCATGTATTTGCTTGGGTTTTTTTTTTTTTCTTTAATTGAGTCTGTCAATCTGTCTTTTAATTGGAATTTTAAGTTATTTGCATTAATGTAGTATCTGCTATATTTAGATTTAAATCTTCCATCTTAATTGCATCCTATTTTGTCCTACCAGTTCTGTGTTCTTTTTCTCTCCCTTTTTTGCCCTTTACTGAATGTCGGCTTATGTCTACGTTCGTCTTTCTAGGATCTTACTCGTAAGTCTGGGTATCTTTGTAACCTTAAACTGTTTTCTTCCCAGTGCTACTCCCCAAAGTTCTGTTTGGCTTCCCTGCCTCTTAAGCACTGTCTTATATTTAACTTGCCAGCCTTCCTGTTCATCTTCGAAATTGGCAAGTGCTTTGTGGGGTACTGGCTATTCTGGTCCTTCTCTCCAGATGTGGGTTTTGAGTATCTGTATGTATTTATTTCATATATCTGTAAAAGTTCCTTTGATAATGTATCCATTAGGAATTTGACTGGGAGTGTATTCTGGCCACTCTGTTATTTTAATTATCTTTCTAGTCATCCCAGTTGGTTGGACTAAGTTTGTTGCTGTTTGATAAGTGAAGCCTATGCCCATCTTATCAGTTACAAGAATCTTCAAAAACATTAAATACAACACAGCAAAAGTAATCTTTCTTTAATTCATTTAAGAAACTTTCTTCTTTGGTCGGTATGTTACCTACTGCTCTATAACAGCTTAACCTGTAACTTAGTATGACAGTGTTATCTATAGATTTTTATAGGTTGAGAATCTGGCTTAATTTAGCTGAGTCCTTTGGCTGTGCCTCTCTTGAAAGGATGTGGTTATCTCATATTCAGCTGGGAAAGACGTGGTTCCTAGCTCACTCATGTGGTTGACAGGCCTCAGTTGCCCATTAGATATCTACTAGAGACCAACCTCATTTCCTTGTTACTGGAACCTCATAGAGCATCTCACAACATGGCAGCAGGCTTTATGTGCAAGAGAACAAGAGAGGCCACCAGCAAGACAGACAGTGATTATCAAGTAAGAAGTCACAGTCTCTTATAAAAGAGACAGTCCACCACTTTTGCTGTGCAGGCACGGCTTGGCCATATTTTAGGTTTGGTTCTAGACTACCATACTATCATGATAAAGTGAGTCATGGGAATTTTGTGGTTTCCAAATATGTATCAAATTTACATTTATTCTGTACTGTAATATGTTAAATATGCATTAGCATTATGTCTAAAAAAACACTGCAAAAATCTTAGCTAAATACAACAGAGACACAAAGTGATTAAGTGCTATTGGGGGAAGGGCGCCGATGAGCCTGCTTGCTGCAGGGTTACTGAAACCCTCAGGTCGTAAAAAAACTGTAATATCTGTGCAGTGCAACAAAATGAGGCACAATAAAGCAAATGCTGTCTGTCCTCTCTTTGTTAGAAACAAGTCATTGGGTCCACACTTGGAGGGGGGCGGGTGTGGAGTTTTACAAATGCACGAAGACTAAGAAGCCACTGAAAGCCTGCCGTGCAGGATAAGTCGATATGAAGGGCTTTCGTTGTTTTTAATTTTACTGTGCAGCAGGGATACCAGATGGAGGCCCTGAGGTCACCACTTCCATGTATTTATACGACTGCATTTTCTACCTGTGGAATCTCCCGTGCTCTAGAGCAAGGGCCTTTGGACGTACAGATAGCCACCCAGGGGCCTTCTTCAGGGGAGGCTGCTGGGTAATGACAAGGAAAACCCTAAGTGGACCACAGGAGAGGGAGGGCTTGGGCGTTGTGAGGCAGAATAGAGAAAGGAGTGCTAAGCACCCCACCAGCCGCTGACAGAAGACCTGCCAGAGAAGTCGTGGGCGGCAGCTGAGGGCGTGGGCACTGCCCACCCGTGGCGGGAGCTGCGTCACAGTGAGGCTAGCAACATGCTGCAGTGGGGATGGCTTGAAGGGAGGAGCAAAGAAAGGGAGAGTATTAGGTAAATACTGCATCCCCAAGGGGATGGGAACTGGATCGAAACAGAGGATGGAAAGGCAAACCTAAAAGATACTTGGGAGCTGGGTGGCCTCAGGAAGCACCTGAGTGAATACAGAGGATGAGGATGACACAGTCAAACAACCGAGTGAGTTTTCTTGGGGCGTGGAGGAGAGTGGTCTTAACAAAAACAGGGAAGTCAAAGGGGAACAGTTTTGAGAAGACTCAAGTCAGCTTGAGCTAAAAGGGTTAGGTTACTTGGATATCAATAAAAGGCCTGTCAACTGTTTCAAAAATTAAAAATGTGGTTTGATTTATTAAGACTGGAGAGAGGCTCTGGCATCCGCACTGTTCCCCGAGTTGAGCTACATAGTTATGATTTAGAGCCATTAAACCAGGTACTTGGAAGTTATTGATAATTTGTGGTAATAGAGTTATAAGCCTGGTTGGAATTATTGCTTAATAAAAATAGAACAATAAACTCAACGCATACTGCTAAGGAAGTCAGCCTACTGGAAGAGACTGAGATACACTCTTAAGTAAACTACGCTGCAAGGAAGTTAAAGCAGGAAAAAAAAAGACATCTAAACAGCATTGTAGGGATATAGTAACTAGAACTATGTAAGAGGAGTTTGTTTTAAAAAAGCATGGTTGGGGACTGAACAGTAGTGAGCATAGTTTAAACATTGGATCTGGATTCTTTTTTGGCAAATAATTCTCATATGATATTTGAGGGAACAAAGACTGCTCCTCTTGATAGATGTTGATTTATCTTTTTCTGTAGCACTTTGCCCTAACAAAGTAGCCAGGAGATGGGGTGGTTCTGAGAGAGGAGCATGGCCAGTAGCTAATCCTTCCCATTGCCCATTAGCAGAGTACCCTCCCGCCTCTATGACAGTAACAAGTCACTTTTTGTGAAAGGATTGAGAAAAAACAGCATCCATGTCACTTGGGCAGCATTTTGTGAATGAATGAAACACGGGTGGATGCGCTTCCTTTGCTCTGTCATGGGACTGACTGTGTCTCTGGCCTGCTTTGCAAATAGTGACCGCACACTGCCTCCTTACCGACAGTCTATGCAAAAGAGCAGGAAGGATGTTGGTACTTGGGGCTTCCTACAAAATCTAAAGCTCACCAAGCAAACATTTTCCCATTTTCAGATGATATAAGCCATGTAATGATTTGTCAAATAAATAATTTGTTTATATAAATCTGAAACGTCATTGAGGTCAGAGATGAGGAAAGCCAAAGAAATTGATGTACAATTGTCTAGTTCCATGTAAATGTCATCAAAGTAATCAAGTTCTGTTTAAAGCTGTCACTACCTTTTTTTATAGTGAAGGATGAAAATCTGGAAAAGCTGGAGGAAAAAGAATATTTTGGAATTGTCATTGTAAGAATTTTAGTTCGTGAGTTTCCTGGTGCCAGTTTGAAACGAATTGTCATTCAAGAAGAGATAGTAGAGATTGATGGAAAACAAGTAAGACAGTATTCTTACTGAGAATTAAATTGTAAATATATGTGCTCTGTGTACCCATGTGTTCAATTATTACTTACTGCTGACTTGATAATAAAGGTTACCCTGATGTTGCTTAAGTATCCAGCCATTTAGAATTTTTTTGTTTCAGCATTTACTTGTCTAGATCTGATTTCTAATTTTTAAAAAACATCATATTCATACATGTTGATATCACTTTAAAATATCATGAAATAGAACAAGTAGAGGCTGAATTTGATTTAAAAGTTCTGCAATCATTTCCTTTCTAAGTAAATGAAATGGAACTAAGAGCAAACTTATAATAGTGAGTGCCAAGGTATGCAGGAATATGACTAAACTTGCAAGTTAAATACCTAAAAGTGGCCACAGGTAGTGGTAATAAAGAGTAACTGAGTAAATAGCCACATTTCAGTTACAGGGATTAGTCTTATGTTCTTATAGGATTGTGTTATTTAAAGTAAAGAATTAATTGTTTATTTTTTTTACAGGCTCAACAAAAGGATGTTACTGAAATTGACATTTTAGTTAAGAACCAGGGGATGCTCAGAAGTTCAAACTACACACTGCCTCTGGAAGAAAGCATGCTGTACTCAGTTTCCAGAGACAGTGACAATGTATTTACCCTTCCTAACCTCTCCAAAAAGGGTAATTAAAGACTATTATTTATTAAGGAAATATTTTCTTTAGTCGATAGTTTTTAAATCACAGTTAGAATTTGGAAGTAGGCTTTTTCACAGTGATTATAAGCTATACTACTTTATATGTGCATTTAGGAATCTCGAGTCTTAATGGGACATGCTGAGTGGTAACTGTAGTGACTCTCTGCTGTAATTATCTGCTCCTAATCTGGGTAATCTTTACCAGGTAAATAATATCATTCATTTAGAAAGACAAATACTTGCTTTTTCTACTGAAACAAAGAATTTTTAAAAATATGACTTTCTGTGTGACAGAATTAGAAAAGCTGTAGAAAAGCTTAGAGCTGCCTGTTTTTAGTTTTTTCCCAGTACTTAAGTCAGCGAACAATCAAGAAAGTAAAAACATGGAAAAAATAGAAGTAAATTATTCAAAAACATTTTTTTCTGTCATGGCAAAATAGTTGTTCTTACCATCCCAGCTGTCACTGGCATAACTTGTCTAGCTTAGCCCAAGTCGGGGTCTCCAGCCGCGTATCGGTGATTTGGCTCTTTCTTCTCTGTAGAAAGTGTCAGTTCACTGCAGACCACCAGCCAGTATCTTGTCAGGAACGTGGAGACCACTGTAGATGAAGACGCTTTACCTGGCAAATTACCAGAAACGCCTCTCAGAGCAGAGCCTCCATCTTCGTATAAGGTAAATCTACTGTCTGGGGTTATTTTTAAAGCATTCGTAACTGTGGTGAAAAATAATGAATTTAAAATAAGGTTGAACCATGAGGATTAGAATTTGGTACACTGTTAATAACAGACTTGTCACTGCTGCAGTGGGATGTTTTTAGGTATCCTACTTTCCAAGTTTCTTCTCCCAATGAGATGGACAGTGATTATCAAGGCACCGGGCCTCATTTGGACAAGGCCTGGCACTCTCAGGATCTTGCTGTTACACAGCACACTAGTTAATAGTATGTTTTCTGGAGAAAGCTCAGTTTAAACCCTGCTTTTGCCATGTACTGTTGGATGATCATGGGAGTTTCTAGCCTCTCTCACCTTAGTTTCTTGATCTGTACCTTGGGGCACCTGTAGTGCTTATTTCATGAGGCTTTAAATAAACTGGTATGGATGTCAATATGTGGTGGTACCGAGGAGATTGTCATGTTATCATAAATAACATTATACTGCTGAGTAGGACGACATTTGGGGTTCATAGAGTACCCTGATCTATCTGTGTATACTACTAGGGCCCTCATAGGCCTCCAGATAATTTCCATTTAATTATGTAAGGTCTATTATTAGTCTCAAAAGAGTCAAGAGATTATTCTTTGAAGACCCTGTTCACTGAAGGGTGGTATTGCTTATACCTCCACTACTCCATCTCCTCCTCATTTCCTCCAACCATAGGGTACACTTCTGGTTCATTTTTATAAAGTGAATTAGCCTAACCTCTTGTCAACAGCAATTATTTTTGCTTGACTTATAATTAATCAAGTATAAATAAATATAAAGGAGAGTAATATTTTTGTGCCTGTTATTGTCAGACTATAATTTTTAATTGAAAATAATTTTTATCAAGGTATAATTTTTTTTTTTAAAGATTTAATTTACTTATACAAGCAAAAGCTGGGGTATAGGCCAGGTGGGGGGGAATGAGAGGATTCACAGAAGTGGGGAACAGAACAGGCAGATCCACCTCTGCTAAGGAGAGCTATGGGTGAGACAGGAAAGGTCTGCTGTGCCATGTGAGTTAGCTCCCTGGATGGGGCTCAAACTCGTGCTGCAGTAGCTACTGACTGCTTTATATTTAATCCCTTGAGCCACTAGGGAGACCCTATTTTTATTTTTTTAAAGATTTATTTTATTTATAGAGGAATAGGGTATATACCAGAGGTGGGGGGTGAGAGAGCTGTGGTGAGAGGTCTCTGGTGAAAACAGACAGAGGAGCAGAACAGGTGGGTCTACCGAGATACACTGCTGAGGGGAGCAGTGGGTGAGACAGGAGAGGTCTGCTGTGCCAAGTCAGTTAGCTCCATGACTAGGGATCAAACTCACCTCCCAGTGGCTGCCTATAGCTTGATAGTGCTTAGACTTAACCCTTTGCGCCACCAGGAAGGCCCAAGGTATATGTTAAAATAAAATGAGCAAGCACACCCATTTAACAAACAGGCTAGATACATTTTGGCATGTGTGGACACCTGTGTAGCCTCCACCAGAATTGAGATAGTATTATCATCTTCCCCAAACCAGGACAGATGCTTAGAGTTCCTTAGAGAGCAAATGAGATTTGCACGTCTAAGGAGAGCTCTGCTTTAGGTGATGTGTCTGTGGGTGGAGCAGCTCAGGAGAGACCTGTGCCGGTCCTGGAGCAGCGTGTTCCCAGTGCTCTTCATGTTTCTGAACGTCGTGGTGGTTGGAGTTATAGGAGCATCTCTGGTAATAACCATCCTGAAGGTGCTTTTCCCTATCTGTGAATACAAGTAAGTATTTTTGAAACATTAGTATTTTCATTAATTGAAAAGTGAGTTGTATTTACTGTATAAAATGTAAAAATTAGAAAAGGAGAGAGAATATGCCTCCTTTTTTCCCTAGCCCACTGCCCAACTTTAGCAAAACTAAAAATATTTATGGGATACCTCTGATGATGAAGACACTTGCTGGAGGAGTCAAGTGTAACTAAGACAAGCTCTTCTGTCTGAGAAGTTAAAGTCTGTGAGAGAAAGAAAACATTTATGATGTAAATGTGATGTGTATAAGAGGTCAATAAAATAAAAGGACTTCACTACATCATCAGTTTAAGATGAAGTTAATTTTAGAACACTAACAGGACATACTGCTTGTAACAATAAGCAAAACAGGAAACGTCTGAACTATTTTTCAGTGAATAATGATACATGTTGTATCGGACACTGGGCAGCTTATGGAAGTATGCATGTGGAGATGAAAGAAGTCCAAAGTCTATTAGATGCTGGGAAAGAAATTGTATCACAGTATGATTCCATTTCAGTAAAACAGAAGCGGCCCCGTGCGGATACGCAACACAGACACAGAGAGCTTCCGCGGTGGGAATGAGGACAGCGGTGCAGAGAGGACATTCACTTTTCCCTTCTATCCAACTTGACTCTTTTTTAGCTATAAGTTATTTTATAACTTAAAAATGAATTTATTGTTAAGTGTTTATACAAGTTAATGCAGCTAGTCATTTCAGTGGTGTTAGCAGAAGTAAATCTCAATAGAACAGAATTGAGCACAGTTTTTGACTTGGCTAAATTATACTGTACTGGGTTGGCAAAATCAGAGGATTTATAGAAAAAAGACCCAATTTAAAATTTTCCTTTCCACAGCTGCATGTGGTCTTGGAAGCTGCTGTTTATCATTTAATTTTATGTCCCTATTGACAGAGGAAATGTTTAATTTTAATTTCTATATTTCAGAGGAATTCTCCAGTTGGATAAAGTGAACGTTATACCTGTGACAATGATCAACCTATATCCAGATGATCCTGAGAAAGCAGTAAAAAACCTTGAAGATAAAACATCTCTTTAAACCTCCATGTCAAACCATGGACTCTGAGTGGGTCTATACTCTAGAGAAATTGCTAAACTCGTAAAACTGCCAAAAACTTGACCTTTAAAGTGGCAAGTTAGAATTCATCTTATTTTTAACAGGGCTGCCTATTCAGATGATGAATTGTTAAGGAAATTTAAATGGAAGAAAAGACATATGAAGAAACTTTGAAATTACCAAAAAAGAAAAAAAAAAAAAAGGCAAGATGGAATGTTCTGTGCTGATACTTCCCTAGGTGCCTTTAAGGAAATTATATCCACTTAATGATATATGAGACTTTATGAAAAGCACTTTATGGAATTCTAATTTAAAAGCTCAAGAGTGTTAACACTTATTTTTTTATTCAGTAAAATGTGCCTTTATATTAAGTATGTGACGGTATAAATCACTGATGTGTATCATGATTTGATTATATCCTGTACGAAAACCACTCACCTTGAATGCATAGGATGTAAAAAATAGTGGATGTCCTCATTCTAAAATAAACTTTTTTGAGGAAAAAGTAGTCTTTTGGTATAAAAACTCTGCTCAGGTGAGAATTTAGCAACTCTTTTAGCTTGAAGTCAAGGCTAAAAAGGAGTCCATCCGTGCTGTGGAATTAAACGGGCCTCTGTGCTGGTGGTTCCAAGTGTGGAGCTGTTTGTCCTGCAGCAGTGTTTCATCTTACTTTTTTAAAACTCACCCAAATTGAAAAACTGCTTAAAGATTTTATTTATGCATTTTATTTATTATGCATTTGTATTTATTAATGCATACAAGAGCTAAGGTATAGGCCAGAGGTGCGGGAGGGTGAGAGGATTCACCAGAGACAGTGGGGAGCAGAACAGGCACACTTACTGAAACACACTGCTGAGAGGAGGTCTGCTGCGCCATGTGGGTCAGCTCCCTTGCTGGGGGTAGAACTTTGCTGTGGTGGCTGCCTCAGCAGGTAGTGCTAAGGCCACCCCTTATGCACCAGGGAGGCCCCAATTTGAGATATTTTACACATGAAACTACTTTATGTGATAAACTACTATTGTTGCAAAGATTTTTTTCATTACAACTCAATCATTTTAAACTCATTATCTGAAAGTAACAACTAGTTTTTTTTTTTTTAATTAAAAAGTTTATTTTTACATCATTTTTCACATTTAGTAACAACTAGTTTTTAAAACTACCTTGTATTTAGGCCTAACATGTTGTGAGGATGACAGGCAGTATAGAGTTAAGAAGTAATGTTTCATTTTGCTGTCTGTAATGAGGAATAACAGCCCTGTGCAATGTACCACTCTTCGTATTGTAGAATAGATATTATCATGTAATTTATAGCCTTATCTAATATCACTCAGCTAGTAACATTTTACTCCTTTATATCCTTAGAGATCAGAATTTTTGTTTTTATATTATGCTTCTTGAATTAACATTGGATTTACAACACTGCATTTTAGCGATACAGGTCCTCACCTCTTACAAATGTATCACACCACGCCCACCATGAAAGTCCCAATAATCAGGCCCTCCCTTGTGTGGGAGCTTGAAACACGGCACTGTGAAGTTACAGGCAGCCACTGTAGCAGAGTTCGATCCCTGGCAAGGAAGGTGACCCACATGGTGTGGCAGACCACTCCTGACCTACCTGCTGCTCCCCTCAGCAGTGTATTTTGGTCAATCTGTCTGATCTGTTCCACACTGTCTCCAGTGAACCCTACCCCTGCCCACCTATGGCCTATACCCAGTTCTTTTATGCCTAAATTCATCTTTTTTAAAAAAAAAAAAAGCCACAAGAGGCCTTTGCCATGGTTGAGAGATATTTTTAAATTTTTGTTGCTTTCCTTTCCTTCCAGAGTTCACTTTAAGCAGCCACGCTTTTGTGCTTATTTCCTCAGTGGAAGAACAGCAAAAACAAGCCCCAAAATAATAAAAGCCCCAGTTGTGTGTATGGCAGGG